GCCGAGGAGTTCGTGGAGCAGGAGGAGCATCTCCATGCGGGATGAAAAGTGATTGGTAGTGGAGAGATTGAACAGATTTGGGAGGGTTTTGGTCTGAAGATATTGAATCCTGCGAAAGCTCGTAATGTGGATGCTGCACATTATCTTTGCCCAATGTCTTGTGCGGGCAAGTAGCGACAAAGACTATTGCGAAAAGTCTCTATTTTCCCTGCCAGTGCAATTGAAGTCGTAGCTACATGTAAAGCGTAGTTTGGTCTGGTCCTATTGACCATATTAAAACCAATCAAATGCGTAAATGTGAAGCACGTTCCGCGAGACGGTGTTAGGGAAGCTGGCACTTCCGTAACTACTTATTGCTGATTGTATTGCTTTTGCAGAAAGCAAAAGTGAAAGTGAACAGACTTAAACAGGCACCAGGACCTTGCCGGCTCATGCTATGAGCGGCAAGCCCAAGCAAGTATCACTTCTTGTGCTAACTGCATCTGCAAGTAGTACCAGCTGGACGTGATTGTGACTAGCATTCACGTCCAAAGTGCAAAAAGGGCAAGGCTTTCAACCTGACCCACGCTACAAAATGTGCCGCAACCAAATCTGGTCAAAACAACGTGGTGTCGGTGGTTATTGGCTTGATTAGGGGAATTGACAAAATATTTTGTGAGCCAATTCTGGTTACGCTGGCATATATTATCCGATAGCGTAGTTACGGAAGTTGGAGAATCAGGAACCATGCGCAATGGCCGCTTCTCAGGGCCTTTAATGAACTATAATGGATGAATGAAACCCTGGTGGCGTTTCCTCAATATAAAACCACCCGCCAATTTTTGTCTAGATGGTCGTCGTCTAAGGGAACTGAGGAGAAAAACAATTTAGTTCAGTTGGATATTATGCTGAACCCGATCGATTTGCCAATGCAGTGAACGCTGAGTGAGGCTGTGCAAGCAGCGCTGTTGGAGGATCAAACTCCACTACTCGTCCCGCGTCCATAACGGCAATCTTGTCGCAATGCATGATCGTGTTGATGCGGTGCGCGATGATCAGCACTGTCTTGTCCTCGAACGTCTCCTTGATGGTCGTCTGGATGAGTGCGTCCGTGGCCGTGTCCACATTGGCTGTGGCCTCATCCAGCACCACAATCTTGCTGTCCTTGAGTAATGCACGACCAATGCAGATGAGTTGGCGCTGGCCCACCGACAGATTGTCCCCACCCTCAGCCACCTCAAAGTCGAGACCGGCTCCCCAGCGACGCAAATGATCGGCCATGTGCACCTGATTGAGCACGTTCCAGATCCGCTCGTCTGAGTACTCGTGGAACGGGTCGATGTTTTCACGTAGCGGGCCACTGAAGAGCACTGGATCCTGCGGAATGATGGCGAGGCTGCGTCGTAGCTCACGTACATTGATAGCGGCGATGTCGACGTCGTCAATGAGGACGCGTCCACTCTCAAAGTCGCATATACGGAATAGTGCGACCATTAGTGATGACTTCCCTGCGCCGGTGCGTCCACAAATACCGACTTTCTCCCCTTCTGCAACTTCCATATCGACACCTCTGAGTACAAGCGGCAGCTCTGGCCGGTAGCGCAGGCAAAGCTGGTCGAATCGGATCGTTCCGCGCGAAGGCCATGATTTAGGTGTTGTTCCCCAAGCCTGGCTCTCCTCAGTGAGAAGGTCGTCAATGGTTTTGCCCGTGTCTGCCTCGCTCTCGATCTGACGGAAGAACAGTAGTCGTTCTACACTTGTCATTGCATTGTCTGTGCGATCCACGGAACGCATGACCCACTGCACCATCGACGTCAGCATCAGCGAGTACGTGAGCGACAGTCCAGACGTCAACGAGCCCACAGTTCCGACAGTGGCGACGAGGTACAGCGTGACAATGAAAATGATGGCAACCGACAGCAAATCAAGTCGAGTGGCTAACCACCGACTTGCAGCCCAATACGTGAAGTACAAGTTTGAATTGGCATCGACAACGCGTCGATTCTGCTCAATAAAGTCGTCTTCCATCCTGAAGGCGCGAATGGTGGCCAGACCAGATAACGTCTCGCTAAAGAGATTGTAGACTGGAGTCCGAGTGACACCTTCCAGCCGTTTAATCTCGCTTGATGTCTTCTTAAAGTACTGCCCGATAAAGAGAAAAATACCGAAGATTGGGATGTATGTCAGGGCGATCCAGTACGACGCAAACGCCGAGACGGCCATCGCACCCAGAGCCAATGACACATTCTGAAGAAGCAGTTGGTATTCTTGAGGGAGCATGGTGTCCATTTGGTCCAAGTCGTTCGAGAAGCGGTTCAAGATCTGCCCCATAGGAGTCACGTCAAAGTATCGCGTTACAGGTGCCCGTAAGACACGTCGAAAGAGGTCGTCGTGCATGTGCTTTGATGATCGAACACACGATTCAATCATCATCAATGCACGTCCAAATGACAGCACTGAACACAGCATGATGAAGCCAAGATACCACATGCCAAACGTTGTGCTTGAATATGTCGGATCCACTCCCCGCCGTGGCATGTTACGCGCCCAGTGGCCTGGCCACCAATCAACAATTGTACGTGCTGCTTGTCCTGCAACGTACGCCACGATGATGACGACCATGACGACGATGCCGTTGAATCCGGTCTCATCGAAGTAAGTTTTGTAAACGTGCGCGCCTACTTTGCCCTTCACACGATCTTCAGCCCGGATAAGCCTTCCTGACGTCTTCTTTGTCTTCTCTTCGGCCTCTTTGATAGCTTCTGTGAATACTTCCTGGGCATTCTCTTCACTTTTTGTCGGAGGGTCGGCATCAACTGTACCACGAGATTCTGATACTTTGACGTCCTCATCAGCGTTACCATCACCACCGATAGTAACCAAGTCCATCGTTAGCTGCGGGAACTGCGCCAAAACATCGTCGTAGGAACCCTGAGATGCCAGTATACCATCACGCATCACCACGACGTGATCGGCGTGCGGCAGTAAGTCGTAATGGCTGTTTAAAACCAACAAACGAGTCTGGCCACGCGCCATTCCAACGATGCAATTGTCGAAGATCGCGTGTGCTACATGCGGATCCACAGCACTCAACGGATCATCCAAAATCAACACGTCCGTCCCTGCCCGATACATCGCACGTGCAATCGCTACGCGAGCCTTCTGACCGCCACTTAAGTTGATACCCCGCTCTCCTATCTCTGTCAAGTCTCCATTAGGTAAAGCTCTCAAGTCCATCGCCAGTTGAGACGCATCCAGCACGTGAGCGTATCGCTCCGCGTCGAATTCTTGCTCAAAGAGAATGTTATCCCTCAGTGTTGCATTGCGGATCCACGTGTCTTGACTCACGTAAGCTACGTGACCTCCGATCTCGAGTATGCCCGAGGTGCGTGGCATTTCTCCAAGCACGGCATTCACGAGACTCGATTTCCCAGCTCCGACTTTACCCACGATTATTACGAGTGCACCTTGTTGAACCTCCAAGTTGACCCCTTCGAGCTGAAACCCGTGAGACGAAGGTGACGGCGATAGAGTGTCATCGTAGGGACTATCGCTAGTGGTTGAATCGGCTTTATCCAGGACTTCCTCAGCGGGGGCCACCACTACTATGTTGCTTCCAGTTGCGTTCGCTGGCCACTGAAAGGTTCCGTCTCTAATGGAAATGAATCCTGCGCTAACTGCTGCTTCACTCGTGGCATGCGCAGCGAGGAGAGGCTCCTTGTTTGACTCAAGCATTGGAGGACACGCTGGGAGAATTGCTGACTTGATTGGAACCTCACTACTGGCAAGAAAGGCATCAATGCGAGCGTACGCGATCTTGGCTTTGGACAATCCGGCTACTGCCTGTGGGAGTTGATTAAGCGGAGCTCGCGCAATGTTGACCATCGCAACAAGCGTGAAGGCTTCCACGACGGTGATAGTGTGCCGAATCAACAAGTAGACAC